TCATTTGTATTTCCTTGCACTTATAAGTATCGCATGTTTACTTATTATCACTTTACTGATGTCTATTTTTGACTGTCCACTTTGCTGCTGTCCTTGTTGTGGGACTAAGAAAGGATTATCTTGTTGTATCTTAAAAACTTTAAATATCCGTGTACAAAGTAGTTATGTAATACTGTAATACTATAATTCTGTGTTTTTGCTCTTGCAGTATTAAGACGGTGTTGCTGGGGGTGCACTCCATCAAGACAGATGAAAAGAATTCCAGGCAGCTCATAGAGGTTGAGAAGCATTTTCCTCATCCCCACTATGACCCAGATGAAATGGTCAATGACATCATGTTGCTCAAGGTAAGATAACATTACAGCATCAATGATGAAGCATAGATGGAACAATCAGCCAATATATGTGAAGATAGTCAGCATTATTACATATTATTCTTTTTTTATTTCAGCTTGGCAAAGAATCTGTGAAGGAAACCAATACGGTGAAGTGTCTTAAGTTGGGTAATGRCATCAAAGACCCGCCAGCTGGCACCAGCTGTATGGTGGCAGGATGGGGCTACACAAACAACGAGGTTAAGAAAATGTCCGACGTCTTGATGTCCGCCAATGTGACGGTGGTCGACAGAGAGAAGTGCAACTCTCCTCAATATTACAACAGAAACCCTGTGATCACCAGTGGCATGATATGTGCTGGTTCAGATGGGAAAAAGAACACTGACACCTGTGCGGTAAGTAACAGTGAATGTTTGTTTGCAGGGATTTAACTTCCGTCCCTCCTATCAGTGTCTGGACAGCCTTTAAGTGATTGTGATTTTCTCTGTAGGGGGATTCAGGAGGTCCACTGATGTGCAACAAGGTATTAGCCGGAGTCACTTCTTTCGGACCTGAGATTTGTGGCCAGAAAGAAAAGCCTGGAGTGTTCACGTATCTCTCAGAGAAACAACTCAGCTGGATCAAAGAGACAATGAAGAAGTCTGATATTTAATGAACACCCACTGTGAAGGATTTTATATTTGCAACCATGTTAATCAATTCTATCTGGGGCTTTTTTTTYTGTGTMATACGAGAGAGATTTCTGCTTCTGCTGCAATAAAACAGGCCAAGTTGATATTATTCTTCAATCTGAACTGAACAGACACTTGTTTATCATGAAAGCAAATCTCCAAAGGGACATTGTTGAGTCCTTCAACCAGACTGATGTCAACAAGACACATTCACCACTTTT